TGAGCTAAATGTATAGAGAAGTGACTATGATTAGAACCAAGACAAGAAAATAATAGTTGTGTCGTCTCCCTTTTGCAGGCGGCTTAACTCCCTCTCTATCCTCCAGTCTCTTAATTGTGCACAAGTAATTTTTACTCATCTTCTTGCTGGTATTCCTTACACTTAACGGCTTCTCTAATTTTACGTTTAGCCACAAACATGCCATAATCAGCAAATAGAGAAGTTTGAGACCATTCACTTTGGTGTCCCGTTTCTGTCCTGGACTCAGCCAGCTTCGATTTCTGAACCCAACAGCCTTTGCCGGAACTTTTGTGCTTAGCCAACCTTTGTCGAATGTGACAAGTGACCACATGAACACATAATTTTGTAGCAACCTGATCTGAATAATGGGTCAAATTTCTCTCTAAAAGTGGGCATAACTTAAGTAAGTGTCGTAGTTTTCCTGAAGATCGTTTTAATTCCCCACTTTCATACTTGTTCAACTATCCTTTTAGAGAGAATGCACGAAGGTAAGGGCAAAATATGATAAATGTCTCCTTATCTCTCCTTACGTATTCAACATTCAAAAAGCTATTTTTTATTGATATAATGTTATTTTAAATCAAGTCTAAAAAAAATTATTTTTAAAGACTTTATTTTAAGCCGATTTAGTTCATTGTCACAATGGACTCTATTGTCTAGCCTTATGCTTCGAATAATCATAAATTTTACAACTCCAATATTTGTTAGCACCACACAACAACTCGTCAAAGAGACAATTGAAGCCCATCCTTTGACAAAACGTGTACTAAACATTTATGATACCTTCTCTCCTGCTCTGGCGGCGATAGGAGCTAGTGAGCTGACAGTAGTTTTGATAAGAGACGTGGTGCATATGGCAAAGGCGTGACCATGACACTTACTCAGAGGCTTTAGCCTCGAATTAGTCACCACGACGCAGGGGAGGGCAAATAACGCTTCGAGTAGCACAGATGGGATGGCAGGGGTCGAGTGAAATATGTGAACCAGGGAGAGGGCAGACGGATCCTACGGGGAAAGAGAGAGACTGTGGTAAGACCTAGGGAAGAAGGACTGCGTAACAATATGGCAGACTCTGATCAAGATTCCCAGCACAAGGTTGAAGGGGGGGTGAGAAGGCCAGCGTGGAGTGCGGAGGGTTGTCATGAAAGCCACTCAAAAGGGCACACCATACCACATTTAATTAAGCAAATATAAAAATGGTGACAGTGAAGGTGTGATAGGAGGATATAGGAAATGTGAATAGGTCAGGGCAGAAGAGGAGATACCACAACTGTTTAGCACACGTTTGGTCAAAGGAT